TGTCTTATTTGGGGCTCTGGTAGAAACTATAATTTCATTCAAAAACTAAGAAATAGCTCAAACAGCCTCAGGTTATTTCAATATATAATATAATGTACTATCAAAACAAAGACATTATTTTTAACAACACACTTTAGGGAAAAAAGTAAAATGGTTAAAGTGCCACTAATGAGAATAGAGAAAGCTAGAAACAATATGAAAGCACTGAAGGAAATTTTAACGTGAAGTGCAGGGCTTTGAAAATAAAAAAGTGTTTAACACTTTCTGACCACGATCTTGTGTCAATACAATTCTAGCTATCAAGCAAAATGCGACTTGGAAAAGAACTTCCCTTGAATCTGATCCAAAAACAATGTGAGAACAAATATAAAGTTCTGTAAAAGTGACAACTTTTGTTTCCCATGCTTGATTACATCCTTCTGCAAGTGCTCTGAGACTGGAAAGTTTTACAGCGATGGATATGCATCATCAGTATGATCAGTATTTTGAAGAGAAAAAATTTTCCCCACTCTCCCAAATTCATTGCACTTCCTGGAAAATAAGCTTTTGATATGCAGGTGGGAAGTCTCGGCCTTTGTCAAAGGATTTGTTTCTCAGGGAAAGACAGGCATGCAGTTAGACATTACAATTGATTTTTAAGGTTTATATATAGTTAAAATAAAGTTTTTCTGTTGAAATCACTGTCATTTACATAAAAGGAGAGCTGGCAAAACTTACGACTTATCTCAAAAACTAAGAAGAGCTGGAGCTGGGCTCTGGTACAGTTTAAGTTCCGATTGTGCTATAATAAATATTATCACTTGTTCTCAATGAAATAAATTTTGAATAGACTTCAGAACAGACATTCGTTATTATGACAAATTTTATAATATAAGAATGAATGCAATAATGAATATTTTTAACTAGCAAAGCTTTTTTTAACAAATTTAGAGGGCCAAGGGGACCGATGCTTCTGTGGAGGACTTCCTAAGATAAACTGGCTTGTATTCAGGTTATAATTGATGACAAAGCATGCACGCAGCTAACGCGTTTGCTGTACTCCCATCTGTTTCAAATTACTAGTACTTAGTGGTCTCAAACACTTGCCTGGTGCCTGTATATGAAATGATAAAACAGCTTTTGAAATCATGTCAGGAGGAAAACACTCTTAATCAAACACATTGCATTATAGACTGAGATAAAGCACATGAAAGCTCTCTGACTGAGGAAGTAATAACATGGTAAAGAATTTTCTAAGGAAAGCTGGTTCATATATACTACATAGGGAAACAAAAAAGGGGAACAAAAACTGCATGCAGTTGGACTATTTGCCATGAGTAAAATAGAAATCGAATTTCCAGTGCTCAGCAGATTTACCCATTCACATTTTCAAAAATAGCTTTAGATCCAAGTTCATCAAGAGACTAAAAATTATATCCAAATTGGACTGAAAACATTTATGAAAACAGTAATGAACAATCACAGAAAACGAGATAATATGATCATCATAGAAATTAAATCAACCTATTCAGAATTTAAAAATGAATATTGAAAAATTAACAGACTATTAAAAGACTAATACTAATACCGATGATCAATTTGAATAGCATTTACATGAAATGGGATCCATTCAAAAGAAAAAATGAATGCTGCCAAAAGAAATACATCCATGCAAATTTTGCATTCATTCCATATAATAGTTTTATAAAAAGCAGTTTATCAAGATTTATCAAGGACTTCATATACACACAGAAAAAGTTTGATATGCATCTAAAATTTATGAAACAAGAAAAAATTTAAATAATTAAGATAATAGACATCAATATGCCGCACCCAGTCAGGAACAAAAATAATCATCTCTGCTGTTGTAACAACTCACATAGAAAATTTTTGCACGTTACAGAATTAGAGATTCATATTTATTTTTTCAATATTACTGAAAATTTTACAACCTAACAAAAATAAAGCATTTAAAAAATAAATGATATACTATTCACACGTAGTATTTAGTAAGTACAATGACAAGTCATTATCATTACTAGTCACTAGAAGTCAATAACTGAAATTAAGATAATTCTGTTCGAAGTATGCTGATGTAGGTAAATGCCTTTTAATTGACTTGTCATTATTATTTTACAAATTAACAGTCACAGAACTGAGAGCACAAAGACGATAAATTATCTGCAAAGTAATTTATTACCATTAGTTTAAAGTCTTCTGTGAAACTAACACGATTGCAATGCTAATTTTTGCAAGCTGTCAGAGAATTTTAGTGATTTCTCGAGCTTAAGTCCTCTCTACTTTGCGATTTCCATTGAAATTTTTAGATACTGGAAAAAAAAAAAAGTATATGTATAGCCTATAACATATTCAAGTATTATCAAGTTGATCGAGATCTCAATTCTTGTAATGTTATTGGTAACAAAAGCAAAACTTGATTGGTCGAAAACAAATATAATGTTTTGTATCTGATGGCATTTTGGGAAACACACTTCCAAAATGCCTCGGTTATGAAATTTTCACCAAATTTCATGTAATTTCAAAAGTAGAAATCGTCAAGCAATGAAATTTTCACCAGATTTCACGATTTCTCCTTTGATATTAAAAATTGGCAAGAATGCTAATTTTGAATTCATGCCATCCTCCCTGTGACAAAATAACTAACCTACTGATATCTGATGGAAAAAATGATATTAAAATATTCAACAAGATATGTCAACATATGATAAAAATTATTGAAAAGGCAAAAATTTTAAAAAAATGCAGAAAAACTGTCTTTGACGAACACATTACAGAAAACTGCACATTGTCCCTAATGCCTGAAAACAATTTTAAGCTATTTTTAATCTTGACATCTTAATACTGAAATACTGATCCAATACATAATGATAAAAAAATACTGATCCAATATATAATGAGATTATTAAAAAAATATACAAATAATATCCAACCTCTTTTTATGATCAAGTTTGTTAGATTACCTCTAGTAGATACTAATTCAGCATTTAAGGTTTTGCGTAGCACAGTTTAAATTTGAATTTTCCCAACCACTGAAGCAATTTTAAAGATATTCCTCCCCAAAATATCAAATGAACTTTTCACTTTTCACAAAGCTTAAAGTCATTTTAGACATTATTCTCACTGGAATATTTATTGATAGTCTTATAGTTTATCATTTAAATTATATTTAGTCTGAACCAAATTCTGAGCCTGAGAAATTTTCTTTCATTGAATACACTACTTTATTAGCTCAGGGACCTTAGAAAAATGTTTTGGGCCTGTTCTCAGAAACAGCAAATGGTTAAATGCATAATGAAAGCTTTATAATGGAAACAAATGGCATTTTTTCCCATGCTATTAGGCAATATGTTTATACACTAGAAAAACAAGTCCAACTATGCAGACTTGTAGTTGACAACAATGTCATAAATAAAACTTTTAGGTTTGCTATATCACTGAGTTAATGCAGAACCACATTTTATTTGCTATAAGATTTTGATGAATGAATTACACACACTATGGTGGTTTATTAAAAGCTACTTTAACTCCAGAAGTTTAAAAAAAAAAAAAAAAAAAAAAAGTAAAGCAATGTAATGCTGAAAAATTATTATTTTTCAGCATTACATTGCTTTACTAATTAGTAAATTAGGGATATTTTACACAATAAAAAACAGCTGTGTACTTATGCAGAGTAGTGGTGCCCTCTATTTTTCAAGATTTATTCTAATCAGAAAAACATATGTATATACTATATATAAAGATATTTGGCAAATATTTATTCTTACATGGGTATGAGTTCATAATGTATTAAATGCTTTCATCAGAACTGATGAAAGATTGATAAAATTTATTTTCCCAAAAGAAACACTTTACAATTCTGGAACTTCCCCAAAAGTACTCTTGCAGCTCTTCTCCGTAGCACAGAGCACATTCATTAGTTACCACTTCAAACTACTAAGAATGTCAAATGCAATGCAATGCAAAGTGCATCTAGAGAGTGAAGCTCCCACGGAGATCTCTCAACACTCCAAAGTCAGCCCTGAACTAAAAACTGAGAACTGGTACGCTCTCCAGTATTATACAATCCCCTCCCACCAGGTCGTCGAGGAATTTCAAACATCTTCCATTTCTCAAAAGTACTGCAAGGTTATATATGGTTAAAGTTACATGGCAAGATGCAGTTACAATATACATAGGGATCAACTGCAGTTACTCTGCTGCAGTACCAATTACATTTAGACAGGGACTGTCTTGGCAACAGATTTTTAGTCAGTTTAAAGAGAAAGCTGTTTACCTCGACATTAAATAAACTTGCCCCTCTAACCTTACTTTTCTGGCGGAGTTTAACTCTCTTCAGAATTTTTATGTTACAATATACAAAATTCATAGCATTATTATTAATATGATATAATCCACCATTTTTTTAAACTCGAGCAAATTCGGAAAATATATTCTGCATAACAGCAGATAGTTTTCAGCACTCAACTGCAATTTTTTAAATAATCCTATGTTACTAAATCTGTGCATTTAAAAAGAATAGTCAAACATTTGTCAACAAATTATCTTACACTGCAGGAGTGCAAAATGCAATTAAAAGAGATTTCATTTAATCTTCAGAAATACAGATTCCACAACCTTATATACATTGCATCGATTCATGTTGCTAATCTTGTTCCAATAGCTCAAGAAATCTTTCAAATTAGTGCTCTAGAATGTTCTTTTTGATATAATCAAACTCAATTTCAAAATTTAAGTAATAAAATAAATAATATATAACATTTTTGCAGGAATTTCTATTATGATTATACAATTAATATCAAAACTTTTGAAAGGCTTTTTCTTACTTATTTCCTTATTCCAATCTTATGATCTAAAGTCTAAGAACTTTAAAAATAATTTGATAATATTAGTTAAACCAAATAAACTACCTTAAAAAAGCTTTGATTATTTTAAACACAGAATTTTAGAAGTATATAATAAGAAGCATCACATGAACTTTACACAATACATATAACACATACTTTGTGTTGCAGGCTGCTTAAATGCAGGAGCTTCCCTAGGATGTGGTGGTGAATTTGTAGCTGGACGTTTTTGGCCAGTAGCAGGAGGGCTACATACAGATGAATTTGGAGGCACAGAAGATTTGCTGTCTAAAGATGGTGGACTCATAGGACGTTCTAGTAGGCAAATAGAAAATTAGGGATAATTACTGAAAATAATAAAGAATATTTTATTATTTAATATAAATCTGTTTAATGAAGAATATTCAATTTTTATTTACTGAAAGAAAGAGGATACTTGGCAATAATATCTGGCGGCAAGAGTTTGAAAAGTGAATCAATGCAGAAAGTGAAATGACACAAAATGCCGTTTTGAGACTAATAGTTTTTTGTTTTTTTTTTTTTTTTTTTTTTTTTTTTTTTTTTTTTTTTTTTCCCCTTTTTTTTTTTCTTTTTTTTTTTTTTTTTTTTTTTTTCTTTTTTTTTTTTTTTTTTTTTTTTTTTCGGCTAAAAAAAAAAAAAAAAAAAAAAAAAAAAAAAAGAAAAGAGAAAATGAATTTTCATGAGAAAAGTGATACACATTTAAATATTCTGAAACAAATACATAGGTGGGGACTCTTTAAAAAAATATGGGAAAAAAAAGGAAATTAATTTTGGAATAATTACAGTAGCATTTTTGTTTTTTCTAAGAAGTGTTTCAGAAAACTGTGCTTTAAGGCATTTATTGTTTATTTTTCAGAATCAAATATATATAAGTCACCAAAATGGAAAGTAATGTTACTGTAAAATACGGCAGAAGAAAATAAAAATGTTTTATTTTAATGTTAGTTTCAAAACATAATTTTCATTTATTAATATTTTAATCATAATTATCAATATTATTATGTTTGTAAAAAAGATGTCAAAATCTTGCAAATCTAATAAAAAAATTTGTACACAAACTGATTTTGATGTCACCAAAATAGTGGTAATTCGCCAAATTAATGCTGCATAATAAAAGTACTCATATCTCAAAAAGAGAACAGTTGATTCTGATGTAATATTTTATGAATTCTTCATTCAAGGGGGGGAATAATTACTTCAAAATGTTTATGTTTTAACAGAAGCAGGGCCCTGTATCTAAACCTCAAGTATCCACCATTTATATCAAATAGGAAATAATTCAAACGTTACTCTATCAATGCATCGCCAAAAAATATTCACCCAAAACGTTAATTCAAAGTCAAAACAGTACTTGGAAAAAAAAAAAAAAAAAAAAAAAAAAAAAAAAAGACGGAAATGCTAGATGAGTAACTTGAGGACCTTTTGGTGGTTGTGGACAACATTAAGGACTTTTAAGGACCAAACATCATTTCCAAAAAAAAATCTAAGGACTTTTAAGGATGTATGAACCCTGAATATGACTGCTATTAATAAGTGGTATCATGCTAGCAGTCAGAAAAATCCAGCTGATTAGATATCCCGTGGAGTTGAGCCTAGGATCCTCTTTATAATGATTTATTGTGGTAATGGCCAATGTTCTTAAATAAGGTAGTACCAAAGCTCTATGAAAAAGGCTTATCTGATATGGCTGATGTAGGAATCAAGGAACTAACTCAAATGGAAAGACAGTGACTTAGTTGACTTAATTGTGAATAACTGTTATAGAATTGTTTCAGAGCTATTACAGAACTGGATGATGCTGAGTAAATCATAAGGTATGTACAATCGCAGCATTTTGCAAGGATATTTCCTCTTCGAAAAATAAGAGTTGTGTTTCTTTTAAAATTTTATATCTACTTCTAGACAAGGATTCTCTTCTGAAGGCATAAGGTAGACTTATAAATAGCAATCTTAATTACAATAAAAAATAGATTTAATACATTAATTTTGATTATTATTATGTTAAATATTTGCATCTTGGTGTGCTGCACACATAGACTGACAAAGCCATATAGATGGAAATGATGGACTTGCAGACATATGTGGCCAAATTCAACATAATTTTATTTATTGTATACAGCATTTTTTGAGACAATATTTGCTTCACATAGAATTATGGGTGCAGTATGCACCCCACAATTTTAGAACTTAGCTCATCTTCAAACAATGGACGATAGAGTGACCCGAGTGACGCATGGAAGCTAAAGCAGGAAAAAAGGGTGAAACTGTAACAGGATTGCAGTGGTAATTATAGCAGAATTTTTCTTTAACTGCTTGCCTGATTATGCCTGATTTGTAAAGAAGTATTTCCTTCTCTGTCACTTTCATCCTCAGAGACCACAGATTCTGGATCTGAAGGTAATTCTTCAAATAACGCTAATGCATCAGCTATTTCTAACCCTTTGCAAGGCATTTTGAATCTCAACAGTAAAAAATAAAATATTGACAAAATATTTTAAATTTAATTAAATTTTTGCACAATTTCTATTTTTAATTATTCAAAAATATATTTGCAATTTTATGGAACAACACAAAATAATTTAAAAATCACAGTACTAGCAGAGAGAGCAAGTATGTTGAATGCAGAGAAAAATCTCTGGAAATGAAAAATATTTTATAGGGACAGGTGCATGTATTGTTTGGTAATACAATAACTCTGTGGTTTCAAAACCCCTTATCTATATCCGGGTGAAAACAAACACTTCTATTTGAAAGCATAAAAACACCACTGTAAAGAGCAGTGGTTTCAGGGCGCGACCACCGAGCCTCTAGGGAATATGAGCATTGTAATGCAATGCTCTAGTGGGGCAGTGGTCTTTGTCTTTGTTTTTTGGGGCAGTGGTCTTTATGTCTGAAACCACAAAAGAAATATCATAAATATACACAGGTTGTTTATATATGCAGTTTAATTATTGCTGTATTTTTATTTTTTATGATAGAAACAATAATGTGCGATAAAAAATTTTTTGAAATTTTAAGTTATTAATATAAATAAAAGGAACTTATTTTGTCTCACAGAAAATTAATTTTAAAAGGCATCCGATTTAAAATACTAAGACCTAAAAAAATGTGTATTTCTGCAGTAATTTTGCATTTTTTAAAGTTAAAAGATAAGTAATTAATCGGTTTTCACTAAAACAGTTCGGAAACAAGAGCGGGAAAAATTTCGAAAATTGGTGGTTTCAAGGCGCGACCACCGTGCATCAAAGGGTTAATCCTTCACCATTCAGGTTAACCTCAAGGCATTTTCTAGATGTTATTTCTGCTACTGGAGGGGGAAAAAAAATCAAATCCAACCAGACAGTGTTTTCTGTGCTCCCATAAAAGAGATTCCAGAGGTAAGCGGGTACGAAAAGAGACCAGTTGCCATTGTACAGAATATTAGGTATCAGTTTTTTACCCTTGTTGTCCCTTATTTCAAAAACTATCATACAAAGACTAATATTTAACGTTTTTTTCATTTGCCTGAGATAACTCGGGATAGTAAACTAATATCATAACTAAATGCTTTTAGACCTGTAAAAAATTAAAAATTCAACTTAAAACCTACATATTTTGTTTTGCTTCATTTCCTTGTATTTAATAATAAAGTTAAAAAACGTGATTATCTTTTGCAATTTTTTTCAAAAAACTTTGCAAGGGAAGCGGTTAATCTGACTGGCTAAAAACTATATGCAGTGTAGAAGTTTAGAATGGCATAATACGGAATTAGTTTCCAGATATGATATAGGAAAGTGCCCAATTTAAAAACAAGAGTTATAAGAGGCTATTGCTAATTTAATGCATAATTCATAGTTACATATTATCTTACATATTCAAACCCTTCAAGGAGAAAAAGGCTTGGCTATAGAAAAACCTTTTCAGAAAAAAGCATTAGAATGGAAGCATAGGAAGAAAAAATTTATATAATTTATGTAATTTCAATGCAGCCTTCAAGCAATTGCTTCAAGATGTATTTAGAAACAGTAGAGAAATATATTATATAATCTATAAATTAGAGTCCAATCTCAAAGTCTCCAAAATATAAATTTGGAAAATTCTGGATGTGGTTGGAAAATCACATAAGAAATTCTTGCCGTTTTGTGAAAATAAAGTAAGTATTGTTATCAACATAAAATCAAAACGTTTCTAGTACATAATTATGAAATTCTATGAAAATACTTATTTTACTTATTATAAAACTAAATTATATTTCATTACTGTAGAGCAATGTAATAATTAAAACACAACGATGAAAAAATACAACATAAATGTGGGAATCGTGCTGCAGAGATGCACCAGATGGTGCTATCTACAAGTATAGTAGGAACCCTCCAGGTAAACTCCAGATGATTCTAAAAGTCCAACAGAAGTGGTCTAACGGAACGTTTATGATGGAGCTAAGCGATTAGACCTAGATCTAAAGTCACCACACGAAGGTGGTCAGCAGGAACATGTGCATACTGAAACAAATGTGATTCCTCTTCTATAACATATTCGATCTATTTGTATAAACTCATTTATCTTTTCTTCTATGAAATAATTTTCGATCTTCTATCAGAAAATAAAACCTGATACATGGAACAGTGGGTGTAATTCTGTTTTATGATAAGATAACAAAAAAAAAAAAAAAAAAAAAAAAAAAAAAAAAAAAAAAAAAAAGGCTTAAAGCCAATGAACTTCAAAATAAGTTATTGTAAAAACTTTTTTCTTTCTCCAAGATAGTGCTACTTCTGTTTCAATTTTAAAATTATTTTCTTAAATAAACTCAAACAAGAGTGATTTAAAATTACTCGTTGAAAAAATTGGACAGAATGTTCCAGAAAATGCTAAAAACGCTGACATTAGAAAAATTATTGAAGATTTGGATGTCTTTAAAAAGGATGTTGAGTTTGTTCGTGGCATCATCAAATCAATCGCCAAGGACAACAATTGCTAAAACAAGTAATGAACAATCAAATCGGGAACAATATCTTTTAAAGATCGAACGCCTTAACTTAGCCCAAACTGAAGAAGATAAGATTGAACTAGAAAATTTAAAATCACACTGTTCCAGAATTAAACTTAAATAATGCATTACTGTACTTACTGATATATCCTCATAGCATTTTCAGTATATGATTCAGAAACTTCTGATTAATAGTGCCAACATAAAAGTTACAAAGAGATAGAAAAATACACTGTTTTAAGTAAAAAGAAAAATAGAGAAGTGATGATTGTAACCTATCTCTTTAAAATATAAAATACATTAATATTAACATACCTGTCAGTGTTTTTAAAAGGTTAAGATAATCCATCCACTTAAGAAAGATATAACACCATATAACTTTCTTGACTTTCAAAACATCAAATTAGTTTAAAACAAAAAAGGGAGGGTAAACAAGTAAATATGGTATTTTGTATAGCTAGACTTACAATATACAAGACTGGATTTGTTCTATTCACATATGCAAATATATATTATGCATTCCACCTAATGAAAAATGTTATTGTTAATCCACTTGCTCATATTACTAAGAGTTAATATAAAGTTTTTAGGTTGTTAAACCTGGTATACTATTATTTAAGCATAAAATATTACAGACAATCAATGCTGCAAATCAAAATTATAAATTTCATTTACACTTTACATAATAAAATTTAACTATTTATTTATTCATTTGGAACACGAAAATGTAAATTTAAACTTGCTACTATATGGCCGAAAATCTACAAGAAGTAAGTTATAAATGTTAGCAAAATAATGAATAAGAGAAACTTTAACTAAAGCAAAGCCAAAAACAAATTTACCAATCAGTCTCAAATAATATAAGGCAGCTATTACACCAAACTAGAAATACTCAAAAACTCTCTTAAATATATTTTTCAGTAGTAAATAATTAGCTTTAAACATTTATGAATGAATGTTTAAAAGGCTTGTGAGTCAGTTCACTTTCTCTCAGCATTAATGCAGGAACGTTCTTGTTAAATAGTGATAAGCAATCAGTTGAAAGATAACTTTTGACTTAAAATTAGTAAAAATTATCAACAATTGAACACATTGAATACTAATTTTTTTTTTTTATTACCTTGAAGTTGAAAACCTCTAAGAAGTACCAGATGACGACGATCTTTTGCATAATTTTTTGCAAGTGCATGTTGGAGATCTCCACCAGCCTAAAGAAATAGTTGATATAAAAGTACACAATCTTGTGCAGCAGACTGATTAATATAACAGTTATGTAATAATAAAAAAAGGTAATAAAGTACAAAATCCGAGATCCGGACTTGTCGGGACTTCAGCGATTCTAGATTTGGGATTTTTCCAGATATTAGATTATCTGTTTAAATCTAGTAAGACGGCATGTAGAAATTATGAAATAAAAAATATGAAATCATGATTTACAAAGCAATGAAGCATTTATGATGTAAAGGGTATCAAAATTCACAACAACAACAAAACAAACAAAGAAAAAAAAAAGCTTAATATATGTTTGTTTATTTTACTAAACGTTTCTTTCAATGTAAGTTATTTATGTTACTTTGTTTTTAGTGCTAATACTTTCTCTTCAATTCAGACATAATTTCTTGTTCAAAGTTCTATTGTTGAAGTCCTGTAATTTCTGTGTTCAGAATTCCGACTAACTTGTCAATAGAAATTTTTTCATTTTCAATAACTTCTCTGTCACTTTCATCACGATCGGTAGCGGTACTTTTTGGATCTAGAACCATATTACAGATTTTGCTATTTGTTGACTGATTGATGACTGAAGCATTGTCATCACAATGAAAAACTTCTGGTATATATAGTAAATGACCATAAATTACGTCAAACATTTTTTAAAGCATCTGGAGATGCATACGCCCACGATCTTGCAATGCTCCACACAGTGAATTTAATGTTAAAATATTTTTTTTAATTCTTGAATAGTTTTACCATTATTCAAGAAATTTAACACTGATTTTTAAAATGCTGCTTTATACTTGTATTTCAGCACATGCATTATTCCAATATCCCTAGCCTGAATGATGCACGTATAATTTGGAGGAAAGAATTATATGGATACATTATCTTTCCCTAAAACTTTAAGTGAAGTATGAGCCAAACAGTTGTCTACAAGCAGGGCAATTTTCTGCGTCATCAGGTAAACGAACCGAATTCAAAAGTTGCCGAGCCTCGGGTATGAAATGATTTTCAAAACCAATTAACACTTGTCCATCATTCCATGCTGTTTTATTTGCATAATATATAACAGGAAACATCTTTACTCCTTCAAATGCACGAGGTCGCATATTTTTTCTGATTACGAAAGTTTTACACTTGTGTGTTTCTGCAGCATTTGTGCATGCTAAAATTGTTAGTCTTGCTTTGGAATCTTTGACACCAATTGGAGCCTTTTCTGTAGAGGATGCCAAGATATTTTGCAGTATATATTGCCAGAAAAGACCAGTTTCATCAGTGTTGTAAATATTTTCTTGAAATAATTATTCACTAGTAAAAAGTTCAATTAATTCATCTGCAAATAGTACAGCAGCTTCATTATCAGCTAAAGCTTTTTCACGTCAAATTTTTAATTGCCTTATACAACAACGATTTTTTAATTTGATTAAGCAACCTGTCGAATATATGCACTGTTTTGAAAAATTCTGGCTTGAGCCAGTAGCATTAGACCGGTTAATGGCACACCCTTGCTGCAAGGCTGTTTGACCCATTCAATTATCACCTTGTCATGATCATCACTTTTAGCATAACGAATAATTTTTCGATTATTCATTACGAGTGAGGTGCCAGAATTCCCAAAATCTTCAAAAAGTTCCTTTTTCTGTTTTCTTATGTCATATAATGTTGAATTTTCAATCCTCACATAATTTTGAGACTGATATACCTTTACCCAGTTTTTGTTTAATGGACATTGTTTATGTTACTGTATTAGAATGGCACCGACATGGATGAAGTAGTTTCGATTTTAAATATCTTATAAATTCAACCACTCTCGGTCTATTCAAACCAAACTGCATACATTTAATAATAGAACATTCACACGTAAACATTTAGTAATAATTCAGCAATACAGATAAGCTTTAAAATAAGAATTACAACAGTTATAGGTCAGCTATGTTTTTAATGACGCAGGGCCAATGTTTGCCAACCCAGGGCAATGAAAAGTGGAAATTAATTCGATAGGCGTAAAAGTAGACAGACATTGAAACATGCTTTTGCTTTTGGATCCTATACTCTTTTAGTTTTTGTAGATCAATATACTCTTTTTGACATAATTTCTATAAAAACCTTAATTTCCATCAAATTGCTATAATAATAACAGCCTGCACAAAATAATAAGCAGGCTAAAATCAGAAAGTTAATCTGCTATATTAACGGAAATTCCTTGGAAACAGCGAAGTAAAATTTTAGACTAGCCTAATAGCACTATACATTATGGCTATGTATCATGAGATTGGTGATGAAACTCCAAGTTCCACTAAATTTTGTCTTGCTTTTCTCGTGCTCTGAGACAATTAAGCCTAGTTATTTATTATACTTACGTATATTTCTTGCACATGCTTAAGACTTATCTGAGTCCTATATAAATAAATTCCCACATATACTTAAGGCTTATCGAGGGCCGTCGCTAGATATCTAACCTCCTGATGCAGTCTCTGCGGGTCCTAAATTCTGCTTCCAAGCACCTCCCCAAGTTCTAAATTTTTGTTACTCCTAAATTTTGGGTTCTAGTGCTTACCCCAAATTCTAAAAATTTTGTCATCCTTTTGTCAAATCAAATTTTGTCATAATTTTGTCATCATCTAAAAATTTGATTGCTCGATGCTTCTCTAAAATTCCAAACATTTTGTCTTCTCTAAATTCTGCCAGCCGATGCAGCCATACGAGTCCTGGCACCAATTCTGGGTTTATGTGAATAACAAATCGGTTACTCTTAATTCAAATAGAACTGAATGTAATCTTTTAGCCTATGAGTATCATTAACAAAATCTATTTTTAGCATATGGACAGAAATTTTTGTTAAATTTTCCTCATCGACATTTCTTAGCCCATTTAACTTAAATCTGCGATTACAACCAAGCATAATGTCAACATAAAAGGTTACCATACTCTTTGTTATTCAATTACTAATATAACAAAAATTGTTTAGGCATAGCTGCCCGAGTCATTACTCAAATTGTTATGTGTTGATAAACATGCGGTGATGAAAGCAAAATATAATAAATAATGATACGCCAGGTTGGAGTCAGGGATATAAAATATTAGTAGGTGTAAAATTGACGATGTTTGAATGTTTCAGTTTGAGATGTATGAAAACAGATATGCAGCTATGGAGCCAAATCATTAATCACACAAATATATTCTATGATTGTTTCTTCAATAACCAGGTATTTCATTTAGTGCCGAAGTGAAATTAAGAATCGGGACTCTCCGCATGTTTTATTAAGGGGGGAGGAATATCAGATGCACAATGCGTAAAGCATATAAATAGGCTTAGGTCTGGATCTTAGATCATTCCGGATATTAGACATCTGGATCTCTGACTTCGTACTGTACAAATATGCTTTTACTAAGAGGCATTTCTGGAAAACAAAACAACATATACATTAGATTTTTTAGAATGAATGTAGTAGAGTTATACAACATTTCTGTTGTCTCAGTAGGCATAATTCAAAGCTATTTTCCATGAGTGTGACTATTGGCATGCATGCTTTGCAATGGCATGATTGTATGGAGGATCAGATAGACCTTATTGAGCAGTGTAATAGCCACCTCCACAGCCTCAAAATCAGCATTTCTTGTCGTTATTTGGAGCAACATTTTTAGCCAAAATGTTCTCTAGCCTCATAATGTAGTGACTACTACCAGGGATTCGGGAACTGAATTGGAGAAGGAAAATGTACGGTGGTTTGCAATGAGACTATATCAAAAATATGTCTTGAGACTGAAAAGACAGGAAATGATTCCCTTCAATATGATATTCGGTATTATGTACGATTATCTGCATTCAGATCAAACTTCTAAAAGAAAAGGTTATACTATCTATTAAAATGAACTTTTAATGTATAGTATGCCTTAAAAGCTAAATTAAACACTCTTTTACTTTAAGCACGTAATAATTATCTTTACTATATATTTATTTCTAATAATCAAGGCTTCAAGTTTTCCTTCCTTCCAGGCCTATTAAATTGTGGTAAAATTTTACATGAATTATAATATACAACTCCTAAGAACAAAATATTGAAGGTTAAAAGAAATTTAGAGTGAAATCCTGAATTTTGAGGACCAGTATATATTTGATATATTTGATATTTGCCCCCCCCCAAAAAAATATATGATTATCAAGATCTGTAAAGGGCTCTTTTTAATTTTTTTTAAATATAGGATGTAACACATCACTGTTTTCAAGATAAACAGTCGTTAAGTGATTTTTATACCTGATACACCTTGAAGCCCTTTCTTAAATACAGAACAAAGTCCGAAATCTGGATGTCCATTATCCGGAATGATCTAAAGTCCAGACCTCAAAACCAAAGTTCTTTCTCGTAGACTTTATATGCATGCGCATTTGATTCCCCCTCTGGGCATAATGAAACATCTGGAGAGTCCCGATTCTTAATTTCACTTTGACACTAAATAAAGTACCTTATTATTGAAGAAACAACCATTTCAGCATAAATTTGTAGGATCAGTAATTTGGCATAGCCAAATATGTATAGTGAAGCATAGCTAAATTTGATGATGATAGCCTCTAATTTTAAAGGGTTTCGGATATCTCAAAACAAAGGTGAAATTTTCCAATTAACGAATTTTATAAAGAAATGTGGAGAAGGGGTAATAAATGAAGATGATATAAAAGAAGTTTTTCATTGTGATGACAATGCTTCTCAATCATCAATCAATTAATGAATGGCGAAATCTGTAGTATGGTTCTAGATCCAGAACCTCATTAACAGAAAATACCACTACCAATAATGAAGAAAGTGACAGAGAAATTACTGAAAACGAGAAAAATTGGATTGCCAAATTAGTCGGAATTCTCAAAACAGCGGTTATATAAATTCAACAATGTAACTGAACAAGAGATTATGTCTGTCTATAGAATTAAAGAGAAAGTATTAGCACAAAAAACAAAGCAACTTAAACAACTTATATTGAAAGAAATGTTTAATAAGGTAAACAAATAAATATTAAGCTTTTTTTTTTGTACATCTTGATAACCCTTTAGATCATAAATACTTCATTATTTCATAAATCACGATTTCATATTTTTAATTTTATAATTTTTACATGCCATATTAACCAGATTTAAACTGATGATCTAATATCCAGAAAAATCTCAAATCCGGAATTGCCAAATCCGGAAGTCCCGACGAGTCCAGATTTCGGACTTTGTACTGTATATAATTTGGTTCAGAAAGACTAGAGGTAAGTAGTAACACATCCGAAAAATCTTTTTTTTTCCCCTCCCCCTATTACGAACTGCCAGGGCTCTGTAGTAACCACTTTCATAAAAACTGTAATATAAATAAACACTCGCAAGCTTAGTGGCAGATAATGGCTCATATGGCTGCCAGTATAATTTATATACCAATCATAAAAATCATTAAATGATCTACTTTTAATCAACAGTTTTAACTGAAATGCAGTAAATATATAAAGTTCAACCTGTGTGCATCATATATTCGTAGATTCTTAAATTACCCCCTCCAGTACAATTTATGAATCTTGAAACATCAGACCTTTGAATGAGATACACTTATTTAATAGCTGGAAAATACTGAGCATTGATAGGATAGGTCTGCCATATACAGTCAAAAGTCGTTAATTCGGACACCCATATAATCCGGAATGATCTATAATCCGAACATCAAAGCTACAAACTTTCTGCGCATGCATCGCATTGACGCCTGCGACCTTTATGGCTGTGAATATGCCTGTGCGCATGCGCGTTTAATGTATAACGGACGGTATAAGCTAAGCTAAAATTATCTAATTCAGTTAACGTTGCAGATTGCATTGTTCCTTAATTTTCGAATTGGATCCAGCTTATTATTTTTTGCAGACTGTTTTATAAAAGTAATTCAGTTTTACATTCAAAAGACATTCAGTTTTATAAAAGTAAGCTTGAACTTTCGATTATGCCAAATAGAATTTCCGATATATATTTGCAAATATGTAAAGGATCTACAAAGCGAAAGTATGTTTCGATGTCCATCAAACAAAAAGTGGAATTGCTGCAAAAAATGGATAAAGGCATATCCTTTGTTTCTCTAACCATTCCGAAATCTGTTTATCAATTTCATGCTGCTCTGCGGCTGGGGGGGGGTGACACCGTGGCACGCATTGAATATGAAGTTGATCTGTCAGCACTATCCTTATCTTCAGGGTAGATGTTTTTATATTATTTGGCTTATAATTCCTTACTAAATGCAGTATTTCATCTCGATGTACTCCGTCTTTGATATGATTTAAATCAAATTCCTCGTCATTATAATTCGCTTCCGATAGTGAAGAAAGTGACGCAGATATTATCGAAAATAAAGAAATTTCGATTGACAATTAGTCAGCATTCTTGACACAGCAATTATAGGACTTGAACAGCGGAACTTTGTAATTGAACAAGAAATTATGTCTGTTTATAGAATTAAAGAGAAAGTATTATCACATAAAACGAAACAACTTACATTGAAAGAAATGTTTAATAAAGTAAACAAATAAATATTAAGCTTTTCTTTTTGTAAATTTTGATACCCTTTAGATCATAATTGTTTTTTATTTCATAAATTACGGTTTCATATTTTTAATTTTATAATTTCTGCATGCCATCTTACCAGATTTAAACTGATGATCTATAATCCGGAAAAATCGATAATTCGGAATCGCCGAAGTCCCGACGAGTCCGGATTAACCACTTTTGACTGTAGTATTTAAGGGAGGGGGGGAACACCCCTCAAGATTACAGATCTTGATGAAAAAAAAAAAATTAACATTTTTAAGAGAAACCAGGGACCTTGGAAGGATTAAAGAGTTAACATAAGGTTTGCTTTTGAACAAATGTTTAATTACCTAGTTTTCACAGTTTATATATTGTTACATTTTTTTTCTGACCCCAGTTCCTACGTTATTTTTTTCCTTCACATTTGTACGGGGTTGGATTTGGAGTGAATAATGACAACAGCACTTGATGGAATATTGAAACACATTTCATTTAGCCAGTACTAATCAGGACAGCTCCAAAATCACTTTTACAGACGTCGAACTGTTATAAATACGCTGACACGTTCAGCGACACAGCCTTCACACTGTCAGGCAATAATGGTGGAGACAGCTTCACTGCAAAGCACCAGAGTACAGCTCCCGACTCTGCTCGATCATTCTCGCAACTCCACATACTCTTGAGACTCTCCACACTACAACTCGTGATGCATTTGACGACGCACAGAGCACAGTTCCCGACTCTTCGGTCCAGTTGTTCCCGGAGCTTTACACACTCTCTCAAACGAGGCACTAACTGCGATACACTAATAGACTGTTCAATGCACTCAACGACCCACTCGGCACTCGCTGCCCGGCAGTCAACTCGATCGACTCCGCATGGACTGACTAACTCGGGACTAACTATCTCACACTCTAGACGAGGCACACTCTAACTGACTGCAGACCAGCAGGGTTTATAAAGCTTTCACCGAGTGTTCAAGAACATTCTGGGCTAAATCGGTAAGAATTCGTTCCAGAAGGTTCTCCGTTGGGCCATGGCATATCGCCAATTTTGTCGCCAAATGTGGCAACCCTAAACCTGCTTTGCGGGGAAGTTATCTCACCGTGCCTGTAGCCTCTACACTTCGTAACAATATATTGGATCAATAAAAATTTGCAATAAAATGTTTACAATTTTTAACAAATTATGTTGCTTTCAATTTAAGCTTTAAAGGAGAATATTTAGGGTATAAGAAATAAACAATAATCAATAAACTTAAAAGAGATTTATCAATAATGAACAGCACAAAACTGAAATATAATATATATACTTTGATTTATTTAAAACCATTCTACAGTTTAAACATATGATACATCAAAAGACAAATGATTAAATAGAACTTTTTATCTAAATCACTAATGTTACAGCAGAGGGAAAAGTTTTGATAATTTAAAATGAGTCATAATATGACTAAAAAATTACACCGTTCAATGTATACGAAAGATTGTTTTTGCTCTTGAGTGGTGCCTCTGATTTATATATTTGAATTAAATTTTCTTCTTCTTCCTTTAGCCAACCCCCCCCCCAAAAAAAAAATATCAAGAATGTACAATAAAATGCATGCTTACTGATAATTGTAAATACATAATGTCACAATACCTTTTCATAAAGCTTGAATAAAGTTGGAATTTTTCGTGGGGACAGAACACTGAAATTTATCTGCCGCTGAAAAATAAACAGTATAAATGATGACATGAAATCACAAAAAAAAAGATAAATTAAGAGACATACAGATATTGAGAAACTTCCAGATCAAAAATTTTTAAAACTTAAAAGAATTTTAAATCAAATATTTTCAGATGCTTAGTAAAAACAAACTAAATAAATCAATGCATTTAAAAATTCTAAAAAAAAAAAAAAAAAAAAAAATAAATAATAATAATAATAAACAGAATTTGGCACTTTACAAGTATATTTTAATTTTTGAAGATTTTGCTTATTAGGAATCTGTTACATAAAATATTTTCCCAAAATAAAAGCTGTTTCATTTCAAATAGAAATCTTTTGGCAAACGCTAAAATAAATCTATATTTTTTTTACATTTTAAGTCTTCACATTTTTTTATGCTCGAAATTTTACAGCTCATAAAATTACTGTGAACCTTAAAAAAAGAGCAGGTAACTGCTTATGTTCAATGATAATTAAATTCTGAAGCAGATAACAGAGGATATAACTATATTAAGTAAAACAAGTTTATTTTACAGTACCTAAATGAACCTTGAATATAGAATAATACTGTATATTTACCTCTGCCATTAATGCTGCTAATTGTTCTGTCATTAAACCAGAATAAGCATAACTTTCCAAAGCAGGTATAGGATATGGTGGTGAATTGCAGATTAAAATACAGTGCTTCTGTGTAGTGATGCTATTAGAGAATAAAATGCATACTTAAAATGAAATACTAACTGTCAAACTACATATATTTATTTGAAGCAATATAAAAATACAAGTTAATCTATGCAAATGAAATTTTCTTTATATTCAATTGTTATGTATGCTTGAATAATTAACAATTAAGAGTATTCAGTTTTACAGATAATTAATAAATCTATATTCAAAATAAATTGCAAATGATATTAATTCACATATTTTTTTTAGTTCCAAACACCCTACAAATTATATGGTATTGCAAAATAAAAGGGTTGAGACTAACAGTGGTAACTGCTTATTTAGGTACTTGCATATTAGCCTGTCAACCATAAAATTAGGCTCCTTCAAACCACGAAAGCTTGCAAAGATCCAGATCAGTAAGATGTTTATCTGGGATTTCAACAATGGTGAAATCAAAAATTAGTGCGGTTATTTTAAATAGACGAAACACATACAGTCGTAAACTACAGTTTTTCGTAATTCCGAAAATTCCTCATTTGATGCTTTCTAGACAAACTGATGTCTGTAATATTGAGATTCCACAAGGAGTTATGTTAGCTGATCCAGACTTTCATAAACCAGGAAAAATTCAGTTACTTCTAGGATCTGAAATATTTTTCGATTTGATAAGATACGGGCAAATTTATGTACCAAATACAAATTTAGTGCTATAAAACTCAGTATTTAGTGATTTGGGTATTTAGTGAGCAGAAGCATTGAAGATTTACCACATGAGAAACAATTAATGCATTGTGGGTTAATTTATGACAATGCCGAAGCACAGTCGAAGACGTTTTTTGATTTGGAATCGATTGATATTAGAGATGATCCCAATACTTACGATGAAGATTAAGCATTAGAGATACTCAACAAAACTGCTAGTTTCAAAGGTGGTCGGTATTTTGTTAGCCTGCCTTGGAAGAAAAGTTGGGAACATCTAGGTGACAATTTTGGTGTCGCAGAAAAAAGAATAAAGATCCTGATGAGGAAAATGCAGCATGATAATGCATTACATTTAAAATATAGACAAACTTTAGAAGAGTACCTAAATCAAGGCATAACAGAAAGAGCATTAGATTCCACAAAACCAGTAAACAAGCCAGTTTTTTATATGCCGCATCAGGCAGTTTATAAAGAAGAAAGCATTACAACAAAAATGCCTATTGTATTTGATGCGAGCTCACATGAAATAAGCAGTCTGTCCCTGAATGATTGTTTGTGGCCAGGTATTAATTTGAATCAGAATATATTTCACTTGCTGATATATTTTAGACTAAATACAGTTGCAATCTTAGGTTTGGTTTGGTTTATTTAATTATGGCAAAGCACACTAGGGCTATCTGCCTAGGGGGAGGGATGCCTTCATGGAGCACTTTCTAAGGGAAACTGGCTCATATACACGTTACACATTGGGAAAACCATGAAAACACTGAAGCAGCCAGCCCATTCGCGAGATTCGAACCTCGCACCCAACTACCAGTGTTCAGCGACTTTACCGCTCGGCCGCCGGTGGGCGTTGCAATCTTAGGAGATATCGAAAAGGCATTTTTACAGATCATGTTAGTTGAGAAAGATCAAGATGCAGTTAGATTTTTATTAAGAATATCATACTTTTTTTTCTAATGTGTCATCACTAATACGAGGGCCATCCAGGAAGTAGATTACGTTTCCGTCTGTGTCCGATAGGGGCGGGGCTAGCGTGGCCATCTTGGGGTCAGAGCGTTGCGCAGCTCAGTCTGCATCTAGCCGTGCTAGTGAGAGGTTCGTGCTGTGCTCCGTTCAGATACTGTGACGGTTTGAAATGTCTGCGTTAATTGAAAATCCCGCGAGCTGCGATGTGCGCTCAGTAATAAGGTTTCTGACTGCAAAAAACTGTAAACCGATAGAAATCTATCGGCAGCTTTGTGAAGTGTATGGGGACAACATTATCACTGAAGGTGGAGTGCGTCAGTGGGTCATAAGATTTCAAAATGGCCGAACCAATGTTCACGACGAAGATTGAAGTGGGAGACCCAGCATAGTGACCGCCGAACTTCTCGAAAAAGTCGATGCTAAAGTCCGTGAAAATCGAAATTTCACAATAACGGAACTTTCTTTGAGTTTTCCACAAATTTCGCGAAGTTTGTTGCACGAAACAAGTTTTGTGCAAGATGGAAGGCAAGAAGAGGTAACGAAGTGGTTGAAGGCGCAGGCGGCCGAATTTTTCGACGAAGGAATTTCCAAGCTCGTACATTGCTACGATAAATGCCTTAATTTGTATGGTGACTATGTAGAAAAGTAGTATTTGAGTGTGGCTTTCATCTGTATATAATAAAATTTGTTTCCTATACTTTGTTTATTTTTTTATTCCAAAACGTAATCTACTTTCTGGATAGCCCTCGTATTAGATCTAAATTTAATCCTCGTTTTCGCAACAACACTGAAAATCTTCTTACACTCTGCATTACTATGGGGAACTGCCAAGATGGCCAACATAATTCTAGACAGTTCACTGTATTTTAAAATTCCATCAGCACCTTTCAGTTTTCCAATTAAACTCCACTAGGTGTCAATCCTAGCTGAATTTATAACTTCACCCAAGTTTTCTAATTGTAAACTGCAATATATCAGTGACAACATCAATATCATCATCTTTCTTGACTATATGAAGTAACACGGGAAATCTGTTCAAAAAGTACCTTATATCAGAAAAAGATGCATTTGCTAGAGCAGAAATATCAGTAACTTTAGCATGCAAAATTACTTCATCGTTGACTGGAAATTTATGTAGTATGTAATCACATATTCGACAGAAGTAACTTCTAACATGAAGATAAAACTTATTTTTGTGTTCTGAAAGTTCTTCCATTACTTTTGTAGTTGTAGCTCCTATTACCAAATCTTCATCTTTCTTCTGATTTTCTATTTCACCATAAATCACATCATATATAGAATTACAAGCCAAAACACAGACTGGTTTCACAAACTTTGATAAAATGTCTTTAAACAGATCATAAATCATTGGTTGCAAAACATGAATTAATGGAATTCTGCTTTGAGAAATGTGTTAAGAACATCGAATGATGACAAAATGAACTGTAAAAAAAAAAAAAAAAAAAAAAAAAAAGCTTTGTTAAGAAACTTTGTTTGTTTGTTACCGAAGACAAAAACAAATATTCGTTCTTCACAAGATAAAGTAATCGGAAAATATTTTGTGCGTTGAGCAATTTCTTTATTTTGAGAGAAATTTGCATCAGCTTTACGCTTATATTTTGCAGTGTTATTTTGAAAACTGCCAGTTGAATTGCTGAATGGTGCAGAAATTACTTTATTTTTCTCAAAACTATTTTTAACAATGGAAGTAGTAACTACATCTCCATTTACTTTAGGCATTTTATAACTTTCAATAGAGCCTTTTATCTTAACTCTCGAAGCATTTACTTCTTCTTTAAAAAATGCAAGAAGTGGGTTCCATTGATCGAGGATTCTAGATAAGCATTTCTTTTTTAAAGACAGCCAGCATGTACACACATGTTTAAAAAAAATTTTTCTCATTTCAGTATTATGCAGCTGTTGGGAACTGTTTCAATTTTCCTTTCTTTTAGAACTCCTTTCAAGATAATAATAAATATCAACAATGTGTTCATCCACATTTATTGGTAAAGAAGCTGCCACTTTTTCAGCTGCTAAATTTAAAAGGTGAAACTCATAATCTGCAAATCCGAATTTTCCTTTCTTAAGATGCCTGCAACACCAGTCTTCAAGCCTCCCATTACTGGTGCATTATCGACACCAAGTGCTAAGCAATTATCCAGAGGGACTGCATTTTCTTTTAAAGTTTTAATAATTAGCTGTGCTATATTAAAGCCTGTCGAAGTCCTTCTAAAGTGGGGACAGAAAGTAAACTGCACTCAATTTCTGAAGATTCTGGATTAAAAAAAGAAGCAACAATTGGATAGTTTTGAATCAATTTATTGCTTCCATCTGTAGAGAGGCAGAACACAGCTGTTTTAATGCACTGAAACTGAAGTAACTGAAAGTAGAGTAACTGAAGATTTATTTTTCAAATCCATTTCTTTAACAATTGCACCTGTTTTGGTCCTTGCACTTGAGTATTTCTAAGCGATTTCACCATCGGGAAACATTTTTCTAAATAAAGCTGCAGCGTGATCCTGATGCATTCCAGTGGCAGGTTGTGCTACAGTAAAAACGGCAGAGAACAGACATTCTGCATTAATAACTTTTTGGTCCTTTGTTTCCAAAAAAAAATTAATTTTTTGTTTTTTTTTCCAAAACAATTCATGTTGTCCTTGTGTTTTTGTGTACGCACATGTTTGAGAACATCCGCCCTTCCACCATGTGAAATCGAAAAATCGCAACGACAGATGATACACATCGCAAATTTATTACATTTCCTTGAGGAAATACAGTAAGACCCCGCTTAACACTGTTTTGTGCGTTGAGCAATTTCTTTATTTTGAGAGAAATTTGCATCAGCTTTACGCTTATATTTTGCAGTGTTATTTTGAAAACTGCCAGTTGAATTGCTGAATGGTGCAGAAATTACTTTATTTTTCTCAAAACTATTTTTAACAATGGAAGTAGTAACTACATCTCCATTTACTTTAGGCATTTTATAACTTTCAATAGAGCCTTTTATCTTAACTCTCGAAGCATTTACTTCTTCTTTAAAAAATGCAAGAAGTGGGTTCCATTGATCGAGGATTCTAGATAAGCATTTCTTTAAAGACAGCCAGCATGTACACACATGTTTAAAAATTTTTCTCATTTCAGTATTATGCAGCTGTTGGGAACTGTTTCAATTTTTCCTTTCTTTTAGAACTCCTTTCAAGATAATAATAAATATCAACAATGTGTTCATCCACATTTATTGGTAAAGAAGCTGCCACTTTTTCAGCTGCTAAATTTAAAAGGTGAAACTCATAATCTGCAAATCCGAATTTTCCTTTCTTAAGATGCCTGCAACACCAGTCTTCAAGCCTCCCATTACTGGTG